AACAAAGGCATGGAAACACATTTTGTAACTATAAAGGGATGGCTGCACTCAGAGAACGGCGGTCTGGACTGGCAAGGGTCCTGCTTGTCTTTGTTCTAAAGCTTTCTATTTATTTTTTTCTCCTTGAGCCTGAAAATTAGTTGCTGAGTAGCACAAATCATAACAGGCAAGCAAAGTGGACAGTGCAAACGCCTAACTTTTTCACCACTGCAATTTGGCTGCTTCGGGCAGTAATTTGCTTTCTCTTCAAGTCTGTTCTCACCAACCGCAGTCCTTGCATGGCCCCTAGTAAATCTGCAGCCGATGCACAAGCAGAAGGGATGGACTTTGTCCTTGGATTTTTCACAGCAGAGGCTCCCACTTAGAACGTTAAAAATACTGTGATAAGGTGAGAGCCCAGATTTAAAAAGTATCTGGAGAGGCAAGGAAGAAGGAAGTTCAGGCTCTGAATTCTGAGAGCCAATATCTGTGGGGTGGGGTAAGGATGGGGGGGGGGGGGGGGGGGGTTAAACGTTCTTTAAAACTTTGTAAGTTCAAGAGCACACCCAACTTATTTTGTAGCTAAAAGGGATGTTCAACCCTTTCATCATTTCTTATCTCACAGATGCTAAAACTAAAGCCTAGAGAGAAATTTCTGCCCAGCTACACACTGCAATGTAATGACAGAGGAAGAAAAAAAGCAAGTCAGTCCAGTGTTTCCCCATTACTGCCCTGGGAAAATGATATTCTATTTTGTAGATTGGGAAACTGAGACACATATGCTAATGGTTCTGGCTTTCCAAGTGCCTTTTGTGTTTAGGCACTTCCGAATCAGATCTCCGCTCCACAGTCCCCTGCGTGAGGAGGCACCATTGCCGCCATCTCACAGAGGAAGAACCGGGTTCTGAGGTGGGGAGGGGAAGGCTGCACAGGACTTCTGGCTCCAGAGCCTCCTCTCGCTCCACCATAGTGCCTGCTCCAGAGAAGACACAAAGGCTTGGAGATGGTCACAGAGAGTTAGAGAAATATTTTCTTTCCTTGATGGGATTGTTTTCAACAGAAGGCTAGCGTATCCTACAAAATGCTGTTTTACTTTAACCTATTCTTTCAATTGTCATTCCTGGATTTGCCCAAGAAAGTAACAAAAGCTACATATGTAAAGATTTTCTTGTAGGATTAGCTAAAATAACAAAAATTAGAACTAGTCCAAATGCACAACAATAAGGAAATAGTGAAGAAAATACGATGCATGGATGTTATGGAAGCTTACATAGCAATTAAAAACAATCACAAAGGCTAAACATGAAAACAATGCTTACAATAAAATATTAAGAAAAAAAGCACTTGAAACTTTTTTATGATAACTATAAAAAGATGTACGCACTTGTAAAAAATGTTGGATTGAATATAAAGAAGTGAGAATGCAATATTATTGGGCTGGCTTGTTAGGAATTTTGAAAAAAATTTAACTTCTTTCAGTGATTTTTAGATCTTTATTAAAATATCTCAAACTAAGAGAAGAGAAAAATGTTGGCTACCTGAAATATTTATTTAGTAACCTGGATCAAACCAGACTAATAGTAAGTATCTTGCTTTTTCTTTCTATATTTTGAGGAAACTGGGTGATTGGATTGGATACTGCGATTTATACTATAATCCAGTCTTTTTCTACTTGATGCCTTTCATTAGTTTATTCTTAGTTCATTAGTTAACAATCTCCAACAGTGTTAGCCTTGTTTATTTTCTGCTTTTCTCTGGTGTTAAAGCCTAATCAGAAAAAAATGAGCATATTTCTTTATTTTTAGTTATAATGTTAGTTGAATCATATGAAATTATCCTTTCTGTAGATCTGAAATAAACAAATAGTGGAAATTTCATATGGTCCAACCAGAAAATTTTAATAACGGCAGGGTTTTATCTTAAACCATCCTTGCAACTCATTTCAAATAATTCTAATCACTCAAACTGCCCTGTCCCCTCCACCTGTTTAATTTCTGGTTTTTGTTTTGTTTTTAAAATACATTGTTTAATACTACATTCTCTAGAGGAAAGGTCCAAATAATGCCAATTCAATATACCTGCCAAATAAACTATTAAAGTTAATTTAATCATATGAAAGCATCTAGATCTCCTTCATTCACTCACCTTTTAATTCGTTTGACAATTCTTATTTTATTTTATTTATTTTTTTGAGATGGAATCTTGCTTTGTCACCCAGACTGGAGTGCAGTGGTGCGATCTCGGCTAACTGCAACCTCCGCCTCCTAGGTTCAAGCAATTCTGCTGCTTTAGCCTTCCAAGTAGTTGGGACTACAGGCACACACCACCACGCCCAGTTAATTTTTTGCATTTTTTAGTGGAGATGGGGTTTCACCACCTTGGCCAGGCTGGTCTCAAATTCCTGACCTCAGGTGGTCCACCTGCCTCGGCCTCCCAATGTGCATTCAACAATTCTTATTGATACTTATTGCGCATTGACTCTGCTCCAGGTACCATGCTAAGTGCTGGATAGAGCTGTGAGTGTGACAGGGGCGTCTTTGTTTTCAGGGAACTTAAAGTTTTTTAGACCGGAAGACATACTATGTACATGCACTGACTAAAGTGATCATTTTGTTTCGCTTAACAGGTCAAATGACCAGTTTAATTTTTTTTTTTTAACCAAATTGAATGTTTGTTCAAAGTGACTAACACCATTACTTCAGTGTTAATAAAAATTAGCCTTGGCCCAAGCAGAGCTAAGAAATTTATTTTGAACTATTTCCGGTATTTATTAAATCAATTATCTGACCTATGTAAGGTCCTAAGCCTTAGTTAAATAAGGCTTGGGAGAAAGGATTCCCAAAGTGCGTGTTTGGACAACTCTAATCTAAGAGACTTCCCTCAGGGCATCTGGACCCTTCCAAACAAAGCAAAGACACAATGCTGGGTCACTTTTGACTGGAAAAGTGTATACCCAATAACAATTAAATGCATTTTTTTAAAGAACAAAAGCAAAAATACGAAGAATTTAAAATTAAGTAGAGCAGTGGTTATTCACCTAAGCCAGAGCTCCCCAGGACTGTTTCTGGGGGATGCTTAGCAGCAGCAGATGTGATCTCTAGGCTAGTAAGCCTGAGAAACGCTAAAATCGAAAAATGAAATAGTTCATTTGGATGAGCAGAGCTAGGCAATCGGAGGGCGAAACAATCTGATGGTGAAAATGCCATTGATGAAAAATGTGTACTGGTATCACTTAACAACTTGCCTGACATTCACCTCCCAGCAATGTCAGCAAAGATTTAGTGTTCAAGAAGTTTGCATTTAGATACTCAGTTGCTGTGCACCCGCAATAGCCCTTTGGCTTCAGAATCTAGGTGGCTACCCCGACCAGTGATGACTGGGTGGATTTTGTTTCTAATTCCTTTCAAAGTGATACTTTGAAAAACTTTTGTCTATTAGCCTTATCTAAGATAGCTAAAATGTCAGTCTCCACAGAGGCAAAGTAAGTGGCACTGAGAAGTAAAAAAAATCCAGCCAATTCCCCTGCCCCCTATTTGTGGAAATGGGGCACGGCCCCCATCTTGTATATATTTTTTCAGACATGTTTTTACTTCGGGAGAATATTCCCCTACAGAGTAAGTATCTTTAAAAAATGAAAATGGTGGATGTAACAGTCATCCTATGACCAGCCAGAGTTTTGCTCCTTGTTTACCATCGGGCCTACCCCTGGGATCATTGTTACATTTCTGTGCTGCTATGGGTGTGCCCAGAAATCAGAAGAGGGATGAGTTGGATTGCAACAGATGGAGAAAATGCCCACTGCTGCTTTACAACACATTGAAAGCAAATTAAGAATTCCAGCCATGGGTTTCCATCGCCTATTTCTGGGTTTTGAGAACAAGAAGACAGTCCAAGATGTAATAATAGTAATAGTAAACACAATTTTTACTTATTGGCTGTCTACTATGTATCGGACACATTACATTACTTCTCATTGTCACATCTCTGCAAAGAAGGTATTATATTTCTTTCTTTAGAGGTGAGGAAACTGAGGCCCAAAGAGGTTAAGTCACTTGCCTAAGGTTGCACAGCTAGGAAGCGGCAGCGCTGGGACACCACCTGAGATTAGCCTGGCTCTTTCCACCACGTCCAGCCACCTTCCTAAAATCAGAGCTGCTCACAAGCCTGGGAGCCTTGCGTTTCCCAAGGCTGCATGTCAGAGCTGCATCTCCTCACTGATAAAAGACAAAGACCACACTGACCGCCGGGTGCATTCTTCGCTACTGCAGAGTAGGGAGTCAGAGGCACTAAGGGCTCTGCAGGCATAAGTGTGCCCGTGCCAGCAGGCACGCCATCATAGGTTCTTCTGGCCTCAAGCCCTGGTGACCGTCTTGGTAGAATCTCTCTTGGGGAGGCCTCCTCATGTGGACAGACCAGGTCATCATTTGCTTTGATCCTAATGATCTGGTCGTTTCCAAAGAAATGCAAATGCAACAGCTTAGTAAAAAGTAGACATTTTAAAAGCGGCGTATGAAATGGGTCACGTAACTGAGCAAGAAGAGAGAGAAGACCTGACTGAAATGCTATAAGCGGCCTTTCCACTCATAGAAGACTGTGGAGGTGTCCCCTCAGGCAGCACTAGCACCACCGCAGCCCTTGGTGTTGAGGCCTCTCTGAGTCACGCCTTGTCTTACTGTACCTGTTGTCTATTATATTTTGAAGCTATTATACTTTGAAAAACTTTTGTCTATTAGCCTTATCTAAAATAGCTAAAATGTCAGTCTCCACAGAGGCAAAGTAAGTGGCACTGAGAAGCAAAAAATCCAGCCAATGTGCAGTTTTCTCCTCCTGCCCCCTATTTGTGGAAATGGGGCACGGCCCCCATCTTGTCTGCTGGGTGGGGTTCTGTTTACAACGCTTGGCAGCCACATCCACCCAGCAGCCTTTCATTTTTCTCTCTAACTTCACTTTGCCCCCACCTTGGTCTCTCCAAGCTGAACACAAATGGACCAGTGAGGAAACTGCAGGTAAAGACCCTAAAATGTTACATGATCTCCCTGGTGGGGTGTCCCAAGCCTGAAGCTCAGAGGCTGGAGCTATTGCCCCTGGCTGTCTCCTCTGCAGTCACTAAATTCCAGCTGTTCTGCGTCCCCTTGTCTCCAGCACATAAGGATGGGCTGCTCTGAGCAAGCTCAGGCACGTTCACTCTGCCACACTGTGTGTGTGACTCAGACCCCACAGGCTCTTCTGAGAAAACAGCTGTGATCTGACAGAAACCCTGCAGCTGCACAGGCCTCAGAATCCCCCAGGCGCTGGTCTGGGCTGTGCCCTGCTCCCTGGTGGGAGCAGAAGTGCCCATGGCCTCTCCCGCCCTCCCAGCAGGGCCCCTACACAAACTCCCACACCCAGGTGAGCTGCCAGGAGCCGTCAGGTGGGCCGAGGACACTTGCTTGCTCCACCTTCCCTGTTTCTTTAGATTGAAATTCAGCCTGCCCCGCTTCTCAGGAAGATGCCACGAGGCCAATCCCCCTGAGCAGTTTGTCTTGTCCTCTTTTCACTGGTTTTCTTCCTCATTACCTGGGCTAGAAAACATGGTGGAAGCTAAAGGCTTGCAGCAAAGCCGGGCTCCCACGAACGGGAATGAGGTGAGGAGTGAGCGCTCTTGTTGGCTGGGCCCTGCTCGTGGTGGTGACTTAACCAGGCACGTCCTCTCATCTGCCCCATGTTCTGTCAACGCCTGGCCCTCTGGCTGGGCTAGATGGCCGCCTAAGGGGCGGGTTGGGGTGAGTCACGGAGCCCAGGACGGTGAGTCATCCGGCAGCGCCAGGCGGTGGGGTGTGGGGACAGCCATGACAGGGTTGAGCCTAGACACGGACCCTTGGCCATGAGGTGACAAAGGCACCGTGGAGGCTGCCGCCCGGTGCTTCCTGCCCATGCCCCTTTCCTCCTTGGTTACCCCCACTTACTCCCGGGCCCGTTGGGGTGTTTGAGGCCATGGCCTTGACTGACCAATGAAATCTTCTTTGTTGGCAAAGGAAGAAAAAAAGGGGCTGAGTGACGGAGCCAGCCAGAGGGTGAAAGAAGCCGAAGAGACTAGAACGTCGCAGCACGAAACATGGCCTGGCTGACATTTTCTGATCCTGTCCAGGTTCTGTGAAACACTCGCTCTCCGTTTCTCCACCCTGGGCCTGCCTCCTTTGCTCTCTTGTTTCCTTCTTCCTTCCTCTCTTATCACTGGGAAAATCTGTACCCGGAGGAGCTGTGTTTTCTAGCAGCTGGCTCTGAACTGATGCCCAGCTCGGCTGTGACGGAGCCGATGCCAGCACCGGGCCAAACCCCTCACTGCTCACTTGCCCATTGATTTGAGGAGGGCAGGATTCGAAGGAGACCCCAGTCCCTCACCACCCTCCACTATCCACGCCCCCCCCCCCCCCCCCCCATATACACAAAGAGTTTCTAGAAGTTCCCTGCTGTGGACACATCGGCCCTACCTGTAATTGGGAACTGTGCCTGCAGGATGGCTGCGGTGACAAGCTCCTTCCACTTCATCTTGTCCTTTCCCTCAGAAAGAGGCTGGGAGGCAGAGGCTGAGGCAGCAGTGGCCGGGAGGATGAGGAGAAAAGGAGTCTCTGCTGGTTTTATTCTGCTGCTACCTCCCCAGGAAGTGGAGGACTGTGGGGCCTTTGAGAAGCACCTGCCGACAGGCCAAGAAACTCACACTCCCCCTTTCGGTTCACAGGCAGGAAGCCCCGGAGGTCTGAGGGTTTGGGGTGTGTGTATGTATCTGTCTGTCTGAATTTTGCTTTTTCTCTCATTTGACCGTTGTTTTAATGTTCTTTTTTTAAAAAAATAATTCTTGGCCAAGCGCGGTGGCTCACGCCTGTAATCCTAGCACTTTGGGAGGCCGAGGTGGGTGGATTACGAGGTCAGAAGATTGAGACCATCCTGGCTAACACGGTGAAACCCTGTCTCTACTAAAAATACAAAAAATTAGCCGGGCATGGTGGTGGGCACCTGTAGTCCCAGCCACTCGGGAGGCTGAGGCAGGAGAATGGCGTGAACCTGGTAAGTGGAGTTTGCAGTGAGCCAAGATCGCGCCACTGCACTCCAGCCTGGGCCACAAAGCAAAACTCCGTCTCAGAAAAAAAGATTTAAAAAAAAACTTTTAAAATAATTATTATCTAATTCCTATCTTGATTGGTAAAGTCCATCTCTAGGCAAATACAAGTTCTTGATGGATATAAGAACATTTGCCATTCTCCTAGACTCTCAAATATTTTATAGTGGCTGGTAAAATGACAGAGCCCTGGATTCAGAGTCAGGACAAATGTAGAGACAGATTCCTGGGGCTTTAGTGACATCTCTACCTACCACCTACTTGCTGTGTGGCCTGGAGTCAGTCACTCAACATCTCTAGACTTCAGCTTCCTTATCTATAAAGCAAAGAGCTGGAGTAGATCTGAGGTTGCAGATCCGAACTTGGCCCGAATTTGGATCATAGAATAGTTTGAAATACTGTAGCTCACATAGTATTTTAAACACTTGTGTTAGTTGCCAACATTTACACATCAGAGTAATTTACAATAATAAAACATTAAAACCTAGACATAAACTTTGTCTAAAAATTGTAATATATCTATATAAAACAAATTTTAAAACATGGCTGAAGAACACTGAAAGGACTTGGGTAAATGGAAAGGCATACCCTTCTTTGATAGGAAGCTCTCTTTTAAGGAGACCACACTTCTCCCTTAATTAATCAATCTATTTCATTGAAAATACCAACAAAAAGTTTTAGGACAAGATAAGCTGATTCCAAAATTGATATGAAAAAATTAATGTACAAGAGTAGCCAAGACTCCAAAGTCACAGCAATTCAATATAAAATTAATACATTGGACTTCATCAAAATTAAAAGCTTTTGTGCATCAAAGGACACTATGAAGAAAGTGAGTCCTGCAAATCACCGCATACCTCTAAGTGATGGAAACAGCATTCCTGTCGTCAGACTTGGTACCTACTCAGAGCCTAAATTGACCCCTAAGGGAGCCAATGACTTACTCAAAGCCACACAGCAAATAGGTGGTAGGTAGAGATGTCACTAAAGCCCAAGTAGTCTGTCTCTACATTTAGTCTGAGTCTTCATCAGTGAAGGTTGTCATTGACCTGGGGTGCTGACACACTGATGAAGCCTACATTTACCAAAATGAAGATACAGTTGGGGAGGCCATCAGGGGGAAATAGCAGAAGGAAAGGTGCAGAGGAAGGATATCTTCTACTGTGGAAAGCTGTGGGCTACAACTCATGACCCAGAGCTGGTCTGCCCAAGCTTAGAGAGGATGCTCAAGGTCCTCCAGCTAGATTGTGTGGATCTTTACATCATTGAAATACCCATGGTCCGTAAGCCAGGAGATGAAGTCTACCCTATACGTGAGAATGGCAAATGGTTATATCGCAGGTCAAATCTGTGTGCCACTTGGGAGACTTCGGAAGCTTGCAAAGATGCTGGCTTGGTGAAATCCCTCGGAGTATCCAGTTTTAACAGCAGGCCAGCTGGAGCTCATCTAGAACAACCCAGGACTCAAACCCAAGCCAGTCAGCAATGACACTGTGTGCCACCCATATTACACGCAGCCAAAACTTTTGAAATTTTGCCAACAACATGACATTGTCATGATTGCATATAGCCCTTTGGGGACCACTAGGAATCCCACCTGGACAAATATGTCTTCTCCGCCTTCGTTAAAGTGTGCACTTCTAAAAAGGTGCAATAAGATGACAGCTCAAGTTGTTTTGCGTTTCAACATCCAGCAAGGGGTGGCTGTCATTCCTAAAAGCTTTAATCCTGAAAAGATCAAGGAAAGCCTTCAGGCCTTTGACTTTTCTCTTACTGAATGAAGGACATTGAAGCCTGGAGTGAAAATATCCGCTTCGTGGAAATGCTCATGTGGTGTGATCATCCACAATACCCATTTCTTGATGAATACTGACTTCAGCGAGTTCCTGAACAGATTCTTCCCTCCCACGTGTGGAGGACCTGGGGGTGCATAGTTCCCCATGGACATGGAAATGAAAAGGTTTTATTATCTTCTAAGTGGTGATGGAAACATGCTTAACTTTTGTGTAATGTAAGTGATTTTGACTCACCTATGTTAAAGAAAAAATGTTTAAATCTGTGGAAATAATTCTTAGGAAATTATCACCTAATATTTTACTAGATAAATGTCTTCTGGGTTCCAGACCAAACAGAACGAAATAAAACAAACAAAAAAAACCATTAGATTCCAGAAAAGACTTGAAAGGCAACAGATGACAACAAGAAACAAGTAACTCATGAATGTGGGCAGTACCATTGTTAGTCTGAGTTCTTTAGCAGTCAACAGGACAACAAAGACAGCAGAGGGCCCCTGTGTGCCAGGGTACTGGCAGTGGCCTTGAGGACTTGAACCGTGGACTGCAATATAGACACAGCCAATATAAGATACAGACATGCATTATTAACAAGAAAGTGATTTGCTGCACCTTGAGTAGGGAGAGAGGGCTAAGTGTAGAAACATCTTAAAATAGAGTCAATTAAACGCCACGGTGATCAACAAAGTCATAAGGATTTTGTTGTTGTTTGTTTCTATCTGATGTATGCTTGTTTAGCTTTTACTCAACTTGAAGGATGCATACTTGCTGGTTCTCTTTTGCATCCTCAAAGGGTCTGAGTTTCAACATAACTGGTGGTCCATACTTGCATTGTCTTATATTCACTCTTGCCACATTGATCATATAACAACCATGATGTGAAGTGGCTTGAAACAACTAACATACATAAGTAAAACTCTGCATCATAAAGTATTCCAAAGACGGTTATTTTAAAAGAAGACATTTTATAAGGGGACTTTAGGAGACACATTGAAAGAAGAGGATTTATAAAATTACCATGCTTAAGGCTTTAAGAGTGTTATTGGGATAGCTATGTGAATTTTGAGAAAATAGCAAGTTCAAAAGAACACTGGTAATTGTGCTCTATGTAAATTTTTAAAGAGAATAAAATTATTAGAATTCAACAACAGAGATGTACCTATTTTCAGTTCAACTACAGAAATATATTTTATTCATTCATATTAGATCACTCTCACAGGGCAAGAGAGCTCTTCAAAAATTATGCTTTTCCAAGACCAATTGCTTATAAATAATCTTCAATAGCCTGTATACATACATTTCTGAGAAAGTATCACTTAAAAACTTGATCTATACTGATCGTTTTCACTGATTCCGATGTTAATACTTACAATGCTTGTCCTCTAGAAAATATTTGGTTCACAAGAAATCATAAAGTATGATGACAAAGAAAGACAAAAGAAAGAACAAAGAAAGTGAAAAGACAACCCAACCCACAGAATGAGAGAAAACGTTTATAAATATACTGATAAGGGTCTAGGATTCAGAATATATAAATAACCCCTATGACTCAACAATAAAAAACATAACCCAATTAAAAATTGGCCAAAGATTTAAATAGACATTTTTTCCAAAGAAGACATACAAATGGCCAGTTAGTACATGAAAAGATGTACAACATCATTAGTCATTAGGGAAATACAAATCAAAACCACAGTGAGATACCAATTCTCACCCACTAGGAAAGCTAAAATAAGAAAACAGACAATACAAGTGTTGATAAGGATGTGGAGAAACTGGAATTCTCATATAGTTTTTGTGGGTTATATAAATGGTGAAGCCCTTGTGAAAAACTATTTGGCAGTTCCTCAAAAAGTTAAACATAGTATCATGTGACCCAGCAATTCTACTCCTAGGTATATACCCAAGAGAATCAGAAACCTAGGCTCACACAAGAACTAGTAAAAGAATGTTCATAGCAGCATTATTCACAGTGGCCCTAAACTGGAAACAATTTGAATGGCCACAACTAGGAATGGATAAGCAAATGTGCTGTATCCAAACAATGAAATATGACTCAGCAATCAAAAAGAACGAAGCACTGTTACATGCTGCAACTTGGATGACCCTTGAAAACATTATGCTAAGTGGAAGAGGCCAGGCACAAAAGGTTACATATTGTATGATTCCATTTATATGAAATGTCCAGAATAAGAAAATTCATACAGATAGAAAGCAGGTTAGTAGTTGCCAGGGGATGGTGAGAGTAGGGAATTGGTTCTAACTGCCAATAGCTATGAGGGTTCCTTTGAGATGATGAACATGTTCTAGAATTGGACAGTGGTGATGATGTGCAACGTAGTGAATATACTAAAAACCATTTAAGTATATACTTTAAAAGGATACATTTTATGTTATTTTAATTATATCTTGATACAAAAATAATGCTAAAACAAACACAAGAATAGTCAGGAAAATTCTTGCAAAGAAGAGTAAAGAGAGTGAAATAACCCTGCCAGATATCAAATATTAAAAGGGGCGTAATTATCATGCAGTACTTAGGGTACTATAGACTTAAACATATATGGTCAATTGGTTTTCAATAAAGGTACAAGAAAAATTCAGCAAGAAATGGTAGTCTTTTCAACAAATGGTGGTAGAACAACTGGATATCTATACTGAAAAAAAATTGACCCTCAGTTGATACCATACACAAAAATTATCTAAAATGGTTCATAGACCTAAATGTAAAACCCAAAACTATAAAATTTCTGGAATTAAATATAGGAGAAAAATATTTGTGATAGAACACAAAAAGTAAAAACCATCAAAGAAAAAACTTGTGAACTGGACTTCAACAAAATTAAAAGGTTTTGCTTTTGCTCATTTAAAGACACCAGTAGGAAAATGAAAAAGAAGCCATAG